GTTTCCGCGGACAAAGGACCCCGTTTAAGCAAACCTTTCTCGCGCGGCGACCGCACGTGCACACGTATGTGCATGTGCACGCGATTCCGTTGTTATTTAGGCAGCGGGAATTACGTTTAGGGACAACTTGGCAGTTCCGTGAGTTCTGTATAAATAAGTTTTATGACAAGAACGCCCGGCCAGAAGGTGCTCTAGCGACGATCCGCGGTGATGCCTGTCGAACAGAAATAGATCGAGCGACTGTGATCTCATCCCGCGATCGTAAACTCTTTCGGATTGAATCGTCGATCCTGTTGCTGGACCACCGCAAGTGCTATTGTCCGTGCTGGTATTATTAGGCGAGTCGAAACTGCGATCGAAATTGTGTAGTTCTTGTTGATCGTCGAATAAATTGCTTTACTGGCAATAATTTCGTTACGCGATGATCCATCGTGATTTGCTAATTTTTTGAAAAATATGGAAACGAATCGGTCTCGTCTGTGCAACACTCTTAATCCTTTAAGAGACCACGATTAATAGCTGTAGATCTTAGATTTTAGGTGATCGTGGAATATTGGGAATGAGTTATTTCGACCGGTTCTACCGTTAATTAATTGCTGGCAGAGTGTCGTGGATGTTAACGGAATGAGTGTTGTAACAGCGCTAAAGATAGGGGGATGCAGGAGAAAGAGAAATGGCGGAATCAGAAAGAAACATGGTGGAGGATAAAGAACGATGCGCGAGACGGGTGTAATACACTGGGGCAAGATAAGTGCGGGGAGAAACAAATGTAGGAAGAAACGTCGAGTTCATTGGGAGAAGTTGCCAGCGAATTTAATTGGGAACTCCATTCGAGATTGCTGCAGTTAAATAGCGGAGGGAATTACTTCGGCTCTGAGAAATGAGATCCTAGCACAATGAGACAGCCTCTCTCGCTCTGGCGCGAAGAGTGATAGAAAAATATAAACGCCGCACGGTCTTTGCAAAATCAATATTGTTTTCAGTTCCTAGAATATACCCTTTCTACGTGTGTACGTATATCGCTAATTAAATCACCGAGAGACGTTTTCAGCCAGTTTGCCGGCCGGAGCGCCAATGTTTCGAGTCGATCAACGTTTTAATTGTCGCAAGGGGATGTTCGAGGGTTCAAGGTGTACCGCGAGAGATCGTTTCCGGACGGTGGCCGTGGGACACCCTTCAAGCCCTTTAAATCGTTGACTAACCTAACCCAATCCGGCCTCGGCCCGTCTCGGAGCCCATAGAAAAGGAGACATTTAAATCTGGGTATCCCTGTGGGAACGTCCGGCGTCCACGTCCTGGGGGGTTGTCCTCCGGGGTGGGAGGGGGGGATGAAAAACAATGAACTCGTTTCGGACTGGTCTCGAGTCCCGAGTCCCGACTCTCCTCTGGTGTCGACGGACGACGGGATAAAGAAAAAAGGGGCGCCTAATGTACAAAGCCTCTGAAAAAATGGTCTATCGTGAAAAAGTCGTCTGCTCCGCGAGGGGGATAAGGTACCGAGGTATTCGACCGTTTCCTGGTGGTTTCTGGCCGACGGAGATCGCAATCGGGACTCGTTTGCCCCTTTGATAGTGAAATTAGGCGATCCCCTCTTGCTATGATATTCGAGACGCGCAAGAGAACGATTTCTACCTAGTCCGACAGGGTCTTTGACAATTTAATCTTGATTCTATTTGAAAATTAAACAACTGCGGGACTGTACATATATTTTGTCGATATTGTACTTTTATAAATCGTTGAGAAAACGTCTATCGTTCGTTCGAAATTGCAATAAGCGAAGCATCGGTGTTTCGATACTTCAGGATTTCCCTCTTCCTCCGAGATATCGGAAGGCGTGTTGCAGCCCGCGCAAAATAACATTTTGCATATTTTACCAAATTTGTAATTCCGTAGATCGTGCTCCTTCTTGTTCATGTAAGACTGTACCGAGCGAACGAACGATTTCCTTCTCCCCCGGAAATATTGGAAAGACATTTCGGGCTCGGCCGAGCCATTTGTTCGCGGCGTTTTCTCGAGAGAACCCGGCGGTATTCGAATCGCTACAAACGCCATTTCCGCGGCCAAATGGAAGATTTAACTTCTCCGAAGACACCTCCCTCGTCCTGCCATTTATCAAACGCGGTATCCTTCATCGCCCAGGTAAATACTATATACATCCGCACAAACAGCATTTCCATAAGCGGACGCAAATTCTGTTTCCCAACTACTATCCAGCCCAACAGCGGCGCGTCGTTACATAATTCATAACAAGAGCAGTCTCTTCCACGTTCAATCTCCCCTCGCACCGCTGCTCCCCCCTCCGACCAAAAAATAATGGCTTCGAGCTTGCTGAAAGTTCGCCCAAGATTCCCTCCCTCTGTTTCCACGGTTCTAGTCAATTTCGGGCCAACTCTGTGCTCCGCTCCGCTCCGCTCCGTTCCAATAACTGTCGAGACAAGTATGAAAGACTGACGCACCTCCAATTGATGGGACTTCTTGGTTTTGCTTCTCAGAAGTTTGGCCACGGCTTCCGCGAAGCGGCAAATTAACTTGGTCTTCTTCTCCGATTAAATCTTCATTCAATTAAGTCCGCGTTCCTTCGCGTCATCTGTCTTCGATGCAAAACCAACAGGTTTTGATTAATCGACTTTCCGGTTGCTCGGATATTGATGGGCTTCCGACGACCATTTGTTAATTCATTGATTAAGTCGTTATTGGGCCGGAGAGCGACAGCTTCTTCTTTTTGTTCTTCCCCAGGGATGGTAAATCATGGGCTGATCGAACTGTTCCCTCTTCGAGGATATCCATCATGTTCCCACGAACAGGTACGAGCAAAGTAGCCCAGCTCGGCGACCCTTGAAGCACTCTCCCAGCCCCGAGAAGACTTAATTTCCTGGAGTCAGCAGTCCCTTCGGATCTCCGCAGTCGCTACAAATTTCGTACGATGTTCCCATCGATTCCTGAAATATTGCCCCATAAAGAATCACTTAATTGAACGTCCCAGATATTATCTACGACGTTCCCAGGTAAACTTCGGCAACTCTCTCGCCTCCTGTGTCCCAGTTCTCACACTTTCAGGGATGTTCGACATCCTGCAGAACTTCTGACCTTCGAGCCCGTCGAACTTTCCTCGGACATTCGAAACATTCCGTGAATCGTTAGCGTTCATTCAGAAAAGCATATGATTTTTACTTCGTTCCCAGTTTTCACACGCTCCGAGTTCGGAACGCTGCAGTTTCGAGGGAAGTCACTTTCTCCGCGTGGAAAAAATATGCCCGTGTCCTTCGAAGATTGTAAAATATATCCTGAAAATTTCAAATCGATGTCTCTATTGGTTCCGCTTGAAAAAATTCCCACAGATATCGTTTTCTATGCGGATCTGCTCAGCTAATTTTGAACACATGTTTCTTACGCAATTCTCAATGTTCGAACGACTGTAAGTTTCAACAAGATCGCAATTTTCGCATTAAAAAATGATGTTCCTATTCTTCAAAGAATAGAATCCGAAAATTTCAAGTCGACGCTTCCACGACTTTCTTCCACAAAAATGCCTACATCGTTGTTTAATTAAAAACGTGTCTCCAAAAACGCTCTCAACGTTCGAGCCTCTATAATTTCGAACGAGATCGCGATATCCGCATAAAAAGAGCAATGGTTGTATCTTAGAAAGCCGGTCAGAAGGGCCCCCCAGATTTTGGAATCGATAGGTCGACGAGAGTATCGTTGGAAAAAATTCCCAAAGGTATCGGTTGCAACCCCTCGACTGGACGTGGAACATCGCTCCACAAAGTGCCGTTTAATTGAACACCCCCCGCGCTGGCATAATCCTCGCGGTTCCCATGAACAGGTAAGCTACTGGCCGTACCTGCCGCGCGACCCCTTCGTCCATGGTTCTCACAGGGGAGGAAAGCGTGCGTATCCACCGGCAGACGGCCGCCGAGGACGAGAGAGAGAGAGAGGCTCGTGCGAAATTCGATGATTCGCAGGACGGATGATGGGGTGGGTAGCGACAGGTAGTTCCCATGGGAGGCTGTCGGCCAGGGATTCCCACAGGAGCGAGCGCGAAACCGGGCCACCGAGTCGAAACCGAATTCCGGTCCCGGCCGCTCTCGTCGCGACCATTCTTTTTTCATTCCCGCTTTATCGCGAGCACAGAGGAATCGGGTTCGTCATCTTTTCACGCGATCTGGTTCCCTCTTTTTCGCCATTCTACGCCGTGTCTCTCGTTGTTCTTCGAGCCGGCTATGTGACTCGTCAGGGTACTCTTCGCAGTCCTCCTCGGGGTGCCCGTCCGCCAGAAATTCATGACGCGATCGTGCACCGTTCGCTCCCGCAAAAGTCGACTGGTTCTCTCCGCGAATCGTATCTGGAACGAGTCACGCTCCCGCCGGAGATTAATGGCGACCCTCGCGACACCGGGGCGCGATTTATGGCGTTTTATTTAACAAATTACGTCCCGGTGTCGGGGTTGCTGGACTTCGAGACGGCTTCAACCTACGACACCTTCCGTTCTCGTACGGACCACGCGATTTACGATAGCTTCGGTATCGTCATTTTTCAAATAACAGCATCCGCGAGTCGCTCAAGGTAGCACGATCAGGAATGCAGTCCCCGCCGCGCGCGCTTCGTTAAGATCTTGTGAAATTATTAAACCCGACAGGCAGGTGCGACGAGCTTGGCTCGTTTAAAAAATTAAAAGGAGCATCGTTCTTGTATTCCTTTCGCCTCCGCGCCTCGCGAGCCACTTTGCGCAACATTTTCCATTGTTTTTGCCCGGTTAAGCTTCGAGTCCCAAAACATCCTCGACAAAGGCGACCGCTCGACCTGATTATCCGTCGAACAAGACAGTCGATCGACCCCGGGCGATAACCGATCGACATCCCGACACGGAATCCATTTCATCCATTAAACTGTCTCAAAGGAAACTAAAGAGAGAGAGAGAGAGAGAGGATCCCTTGATCGCAATTAAGCTCGCTTACCGTTATCGGACACAATCGGCATACACAAATTGGTTTGCGCAGATGCTGCGGAGAGGTTGCTGACGCTGTTGGGCGTGGACGAGGAGTACGAGGACCTGTTGTCTTCCTCGGAGGACGAGGGAGTGGAGCTGGACGAGCTGGAGGACGACGAGGAGGAGCTGGAGAACACGAGGCTGCTGCATCAGCTGGCGGCATCTCTGGCAGCGGAGCTGAAGCAGTCCCATCAGAAGCAGAACTCCTCGTCGAGGCTGTCGAGGAGTCCTCGCGACAGGGACCGGATGGACCTGGAGTCCAGCTACCTGGATCACGACTGCCTGGACGAACAGGACGCCGAGGAGACGTCCTATCACGAAGAGATCCCGGAGAAGTGGCAGTGCTCCTCGAGTTCCCGGGGCAAACAGGGTCGATTCATGGAGTCGCTGGAGCGTCTGGACCGTCGTCTGAGGATGGAGGACGATCTGGAGGACGATTCCAGGAGCCAGGAGCAGGTCCCGCCGTCCTGGGGAGCCGGCTGGGACGCCTGCGCCTCCGAAGCTCTGAGATACCTCGTCGAGGACGAAGGTCTGCCGCCCCATCATCCCACGGTCCTCGCCATGAAGGACCATCTGGAGATGCAGAGGGGACGCGCTTTCGCTCAGTACACCGCGTAAACACCATCGATCTACGATCCCATCGGTATTTTTTTAGCCAGCCTCGCCTGGCCCCGTAGATCGGCCCGACCGCTTCTAGACGGAGGATAACTACCGAGACCTCCGGGCAGCCTGATCTTGGCTACTTTGTGCCACCTGTTACGGTGTTTTCCGAGAGAGTGCGAACTTGGGACATTTCTGTTCAAATGGTTGGAGCCTTCGATGATCGGTTCGCCACGGTCGTGGATTAAAGATTATTCGTCATTTCGTTTGTCGTAGATCCAGAAAGTCTGCAGTCGATTCTCTTGATTTTGAAATCTCCGTTGTCTTTTTCTATTTAACAGAGACATAGCTTTACGCGATAGTGAACTCCCCTCTCCAAATGATTGCTAGCTCCGTTGTCCCTTCCAGAAGCGCCTATAGAGCCTCTAGAAATTCTTCTAGACGAGCTAAGAGAACAATTGGATCGCTTCTGTTCTCGTCGCGCGAATCTTTCTATCGTTTTTCTACCTAAAAATCAATTTTGCGACGAGGGACGATGACGCAGAGGTAGCAGCAGGGTTCGCTGCTGAAGTAAATCGTTTCGTACTAGATCCGTCGAATGTTAAAAGCTCCCTGGACCCTGTGATTCTTCGGGATCCGAGCACTAAATGGAGGACGAACTCAGCTTCCAATGGCGGATCAGGCTCGGACGATTTCCGTTCGTCCGCCGAATCAACCTCCTTCCACCACCGTTTTGTTTCCCCCCAACAAAGCGAGCCGCCTTTTCATTGTTCTCCCATGAGCGCGATGCGTTTCATCGCGTTCTCCCTTCTTCGTTCCCTCTTCCCCCATTTCATTTCTTTTAACGTCCACTTTATGTATCGTCGTTAGCGCTATCAATAATCGTCGTCGCTACAATTAGCATTATCGTTCTTCTCTTTATTATTCATTATTTATTTTTACAATTATCGTGATAGGATTAAGGGATCCCGCGGATCGATTCTCGTGTCTCGCACTCGCACTCGCTCTCGATCCATTCGACGTGTTAGATTCGGGGAACGAACGTCGATGGAAACGATGGAAACGCGGATGGTTCATACGCTGGATCGATATGAACGTGGGGGTGGGCTCCACCTCCGGCTAAATTAATTTCCACGAGGGTTGTAGATCGCGAAAAGTACGTGTATCTTCGGCAATTTGCAGAAACGATTCAAAACGTCTCGAATGTGTATATTATTTTCAATTGGTCTCCATGGAAACTGTACTTTCCCACCCGGTATTCCGAGACTTTGTCAAATCCCGACCTTCCAACCCCTAAGTAGGAAGAATTTTCCCGGCGTTTCGACCCTTTCGGTTGCATTCTTTTTATTCGGAGAAACAGAGAGAGAGGGAGAGAGGAGAATTAGTTTCGATCGATTCGGAAAAAGGTGTTCACCGTTTCGAGAATAGTGGTTGAAACGCTGGCACGCTGAAAGCAGGATTAAAGACACCCCTAGGAGAAATTCGTAGGCTATTTTATCATAAGTGCGTGAGAGAGCTGGGCGCCGGAAGAAAATTATGCATTTAATTGCTGGAACCTTGCGCCGCGTTATGCTTGCGCCGAAATTACATTTTCCACCCTCCAGTCAACCCTAATTTTGATACTGAGCGTTCGGTCGTAAACAAAGTCCGTGCACCCTTATACAGAATCTTAAAAGAATTCGCATTATCCTCTATTCGCCAGGATTTTGAATAAACAAATTCTGTTAAATAACTTGTAAACTCGTTAAGAAAATATTCGAACGAAAATATTGGTCGATCGAAAATAATTTACGCAGTGTTCTTTTAGACAATCGTCGGTCAACTCGGTGGAATATTTAAATTCGAGGTTAAATTAATATTCGATAAATATATCGAACGAATCGCGTAACGCGGCGCAGGGTTCGATCATCGATCGACCGGCGAATAGTATACGAAAAATGAGGATCCAGTGTCGCCGGAGGAACGACGGGAAAGGACTGTTTTAGAGATCGGCGGCGCGTAACGAGAGTTAATTGGCTAATTAGGCGTACGAAGCTAATCGCGAATCGGTAGATCTAGATAAGGAAAAATCGTTTCTGGTACAGGAGCGGTGTTCGACGTCGACATTGGATCGGTCGAGGAAAGCTAGCTGGAGGATAGATCGCCGCGAGTGGTTCTTGGGATCGACGAACGACCTCGATCGCGAATCACTCGCCGTCTAATCAAAGCGAAAACGCATTTTTCTTTCTCTCCGGTAAAGACAATCGATCCCGCGATCGAAGGCGTTCGCGGTCCATCAATCGGGATTCTTGATCCTCTCGGGAATCGTTTCTAAACGATCGACGAACGTCGCACGGGATCGTCTCGATCGGATCGTCCCTTGTACATATGTATGATATATCGTTTTAACTTATACACGACTATTGTTACTTTTACAATAAATCATTGTAGATAACATTGACCAGCAAATAAACGAGCGATAAGTTAATTTACTTTCTGGTTTGATCGATCGACCCGCACCGGACATTCCTATTTCTGTAGTCGTTTCATCGAGAAACCTTTCATACGGCACTTTAAATGATTAGAGCTGTTTATTTCGATCCACGTTTTCGAGACGAACGATCGATTTGCTGTTTCGAGGTTCTGCTGTGCTCGTTGGTCCATTTTTCAGATGATCTGGGCCTTCTGCCAACCTACGTACACAGATGGACGGAGCTCTTAGGCTGATCAAAAATCAGGACCGCGTCGATGGAGGATCAAGGCGATCCGCGTTGCAGCTGTTCTACGATTTTAGGTAAGAATTGTGTCTCCTTCGATTAAACGATACCTCGATATTCGATCTCGATACAAGTTGTACTACTTATTATAATTGAAATAAATTCGTTGCTCTTTCAAATCGTTGAATTAAATCGCACATATTAAACATTGGACAGGAACTCTAGACTATGTATCAAAAGCTAGATAATTGAAGAACTACAATAATTAGATCAAAAGCAGAAATAATCTAACGATGAATTTGTTATTTCAAGGTGAGCACGATGCCAACAGTTGAACGTTCCATTAAAAGAATTTGTCAGAACTGTGCTTCTGTTAGAATCGCAGAAAATCCAACGGCCCGGTCACGGCGATACCTCGGTTCCCCTAAATCTTCGAGTTCCCCATTGAAAACCTTCTCGAGATCGATCATCGGTCTCGATTCCAAGGATCGAAGAAGCAGCACGAGCCTATATGGTCGTCGAAGGGATCGTTTTCCCCGTTATTCGTGCGGCTCAGCTGCGCGCAGGTTGACATACGCCTCTCCTAGGCGTCTCCTACGCGGGTTCTATCGTGATCGAGGGTCTAGGATCGGGAAAAGACCGATGCCGGGCCTATCCGGCACGCGACCAGCTTCGAAGGGATCCTATGGGCAGCTTTATCGGGCGGCATGCGGCAGCTTGCCTCGGGGATCTCTACGCCAATGGGGCATCTGGTGTCGGCTCGTAGCACATGCCACGCATCTGCTCCGTCGAGGTACTTTTGTTGTCTTCGACGTTCGTCCGGCGAAAATAAGTCGAGGCTGCTGTTACCAAGGGAATCTACGCGCTTTCGTTAGCCGCCGCCACGCCGACGATCGTTGCCGACGATCTATCCCGATGCCCGGTCCCGGGCACAAGTAATTACCGATCACTTTGTCGGCAGTCGGTCGTAGGTCGCCGCTCGATGCTAATCTGTTCGAGTTCTTCGTGGATAGATCGAACGATCGGCAATCGCCGATCCATCGGCGCCCTTTTCTTCTAGGGGATGAAGGACGCTGTGGCATCTGCGGGCTGCTGTGCCAGAATCCACCACAGTTTTACACTCTACAATGTGCGCCGATGAGCGAGCCTCTTAATTTTTGGAGCTTTAAGTACTTCTTTTAAGTATGTCTTATGATCAACGCTAGATTTAGGGAGCTTCGAAAGCAGCTGTTTTATGTCAAGGTTATAAAAGTAACGATGACATTCTGACTTTTAACAAGTGTTATTCTAACATTTGCCATAAGTAATGCAACGAACAAGTAACTCGTAAATGTGTCTTTACAAACTAACAGTTCTCTAGGCGAGTAAAGTATGCTAGATATAGACCTTGTTCGTTTCACTTACGCGGAAATCAGAATCCACGGTATATATTAATTCTCCTTCCTGTTCTAGTCGGTCTTCCCTTTTTATCGGATAAAGAAACGGTAACGCAAGCGGTCGAGAGACGCAAAGATTTATGCTCCGATTTGAATTTGTCTCGTTGATGTCTCGAAACGCAACCTGGCCAGCGGATTTCATCATCGACTACTCCGTTAATCCCGAACGCGGCCGGATCTCTAATCATCCCCGGAACATCCTGCCGGGTGTTTCGACGCCAGCTTTTTTTGCCGGGCCCCGAAATCGTTTCGATTTTTTCGGAGGCAGCACCGTTGTTGCGGGCCCCCGACCGTTGGTGGGGGTTGAAGGGGAGGGAACAGCTGTTCCCGAAACCGTCAGGTGGTATCCCGATGCTCGTCAGCTGCGGGGGTGAGAATACGAAAAAAGGGTTGAGCGCAGGAGATCGTTGCACGCGCGACCGAATTCCCCGGGCCCGGTCGATCGGAAAAATCGAGACACCAATATTCCTGGGACCGAAATTCCGTCAGGGTTCCATGGGATCCCCGTAACCGCCGCCGAGGAACGCTATAGCGGCGCGTGGACGATTTTTGGGGCGTTCCTCGAGGTTAATCGAATTTTTCTGGCCGACTGGAAAAATTCGTCCGGACTTGAGAGAATGCGGCCGGTTGCAACATGGGCAAACATTTCGAAGATTCCATCGCGAGATTAAAGTATTATTATTATAACATGTCCGATCAATAGGACATTTCTGTCCTGTTACGAATCGTCCAGCTTCGTCGCAAGAGAACGCGAGAACGCGAAAAGACCGTCCGAAAAAATGGAATTCGATGGACGCGAAACCACGAACGAGGCCCGCCAAAGACCGCGCTCCGTAATAACGCGGAGACTTGTTCCAGGCGAAAGAAAGTTCTCCGTCGAAGTTTTCGCATCGCTCCATTTTCCAGAAAACATGGCGGAAGTTCGAAGGGAACTTCCTGTCGAGCAAGTTCGCGGAACTCCCGGCCCGAGTAAATTATTCCCCTCTACGGAAACTGAAGTATCAATCTCGAGCGTTCGCTATTGAACCGTCAACATCCATTTTAACTCGCAACAAAGTTAGAATCAACAGCCGAACGATTCCCGGACAGCAGCCGGGAAAAGTTGATCAGTATGCAGCCCGCGGATTCGGCTCCCTTCGCGAAACGGTGGCCCGATCCGCCGAATGAAAAGGGAGCAAGAAAGTTGCCGATGCTTCAACCGATTCGATCGGGGGGGCTTTGCTTTGCCTAATTAATTCGGCTCCCGGTCTCGGGAGCCGCGACAGTTTTTCGGGATCGGTTCGTCGTCACGCCACGCCGGGTGTCGTCGAAACCCGGGATGAATAGAACGGAGCGTCGCGAGCGGTATAGGGCGACCGGTTTTCTTCGATCCGACTTTCCTGTCGAATCTTCTTATCGGTACCTGTCCCGACGATTTATTCTCCTGCAACCTTTATCGCCGTGTATCGGCGGGGCCGATTCGCTGTCCAAAGAAATTGAAAGAAACTGGTTTCCGTGGAATTTGAAGTTGAAGGGTCCTCGGCGAGCTAACGGAAACCGACCGGTGGTGGTTGCTGACGATGAATAAAGCATTCAACTTCCTCCGGCAGAGCCGGGTTACTCTTCAATTGATCTTCCTGCTACCGATTTTTGCAGCACAGATCACGTACACCCGTAGTATTATACTTTTCTCGAACGACGTCCTGTCACTGACCCGCAGATGTTTGTACTACTTTGCAATTTTATTCGCGACGTTGTCGCATTCCGTTCATGAAGCAACACGATTTCACGAGGCAGCTGTTATTTCAACTTCCATCCGTCGACGATGTCGGCGAATTTATCCGCTGCTCGCGGTTTGGTTTCTCTAGATTTCAATTTTAGAGGGCCGCGGTACAGCGAATGCGAATTATAAAATAGAGTGGACGGAGTCTATCGACGAACTGTGCCTTCTATGTTGCCACGGCAGGCCCTTTGTTCCGAATTTGGCTCCCTTCTATCGAAGGCCCGACAACTGTGCAGCCAAGGTGTTCAGCACGAGCCTGTCCCTAATCAAGGATCAGTGTTTCCTGGCAGATGTTTCTGATTTTCCGAAACGAAGCCCCCCCTCACCCCTCTCTGACCTCTCAATATCAGCTTTCTCCTCTCCGTTATCTCGTCCTAAAATCGTCTACCCAAAAATGTCTAGAAACATCGCCCCGTTAAAAAAGTCCTCTCCACAATTTACCAAACGATTCTCCGAACATTCCGAAATAAATCTCCATTGTCTAAATTGTTATCGATATCTTCGGATTCGCGAGCATATATTCATTTCTTGCGCGTTCGTTCGAATCTTTTGTTACGGCAGAAAATGAAGTGGAGATTCGATACAGCGATTAGTTGCTGGACTTTAATCGAGAAGTAATTCAGAAACGCGACCGCCGAAGTGAAAAGGTGGCTCATGCTCCGCGGCCATGGCCGGTAAAAGCCGGCAGATGTATACTTCCGGCAGCTGTAAGAGTGGTGTCGTGTGCCTTTATGCTGCACGCGCCGATTGGCCATTAAAGAATAGACGCAGCTGGGGGATTCGATGATTTCCAGCGAAATCAATTTCCGACCTGGCCGATCGATACGCGAGAAAAATCGATACCGAGTCCTGGAATTTTTCTATCGCGCTTTTAAAAATTGTTCTCGATCGATCAGCGTTTGCAACTTTTTTTTACCGTTCCGAGCACAAAGCGAGAGTTCCTAAAATAATTTTGTCTGTTGTTCGATGCTAAATGGTTTAATAAAGTTTGCACGCGAACGGACGGGCGTCGAGCGTTGAAAAATTCATGCGATACAGTTTCGTGTACGCGAGCAGCGATACGCAGTTTTTATCACGGCGGAACACCGACCGTCGAACTTGCGCGACCGTGTGTGCACGTGTTTTTTTATTTATTGAATGCCTTGCAACTCGTTGCACATGTTGGAACCATCTGTCGCCGGCACGAAACTTTTCACTTTCGTAGTTACGGCCGCGAGACTTTTATTGTCCGCGTACACGTCGCTGTTTCTGTCCCAACGATTTTTATGCCGGCCAACTTTTTCCCCTCCCGTTTCCCTTCGCCCGCGAAAATGGACTTTCGAGTTTCCTCGCTGATGGACGAATAATGTTGCCGCGCAACGATTTTCTGCTTCAACATGTTGCTGGATGCCGAAAACAATCCGGCAACATTCAGCCGTTCGACGATCGTTCATCTGATTTCGTTAACGTAAGATCGTGACCGATTTAAAAAATTCCGACGTTCCATTTCGGATGAAATACGTTCCATGAGACGATTATGTATCGCGTTCGTTATCAGCTTCGAGCATAACGACACGACTTTTGCATTACTTGCGAAG